GAAAAAAAAAAAAAAAAAGAGGTCGTCGACAGAGCCAAAAACTCCAGCAAACGCCGGAGTTTTCGCTCGCACACGACCCACAAAGGGCGGCCGAAGGCTGGGATGCCACAAATCGCGTCCCCGACCTTCAACCACCCTGAAAGAACCTGCAAAGAAACGAAAATGGTGAGGAAAAAGGAGAAAGAATAGAAAACCGACGAACTCCGGCGAAGCCGAACCATACGAATCGACGTCAAAAAACCCCCATTTTCCACCACAAAAGTAATCCCAGAACCCTTTACACACATCACGAATAGGTTTTAGACGAATCTCGTACGCTGAACACAGTCGGGAAGGAAGATGGATTGGCGGACTTCCAAGCTTCTCTAGATTCGGGAGTGTGAGGTCCTTATCAACGAAATCTGTACCAAAAACAGGGTTAGGGTGAAGAATAATCTCAGGAACAGAGGAAAAAAGAGGGGAAAAGGACATCGGGACGACGTTGTCAAGGAGAGAGAGAGATCGCTGGCAAATCGCGCAGGCAGTTGGGCGAAGAGGGCGAAGTCCGACCCGAGATTCGGATCCGACAACCCGAACCGAACTCTGTCCCTTCAGTCGGCCCAAAATTGACGTTACCCGCGGCATAAACACCCCTACCCTTCACCCGCGAGCCAGCCCATCACCCTGCGGCCCATCACCCGCGAACGGCCCGTCACCTGCGTTCGGCCCGAGACCCGCGAGCGACCCGTTAACTCGCGCCTTGACCCAAGACGCCTGCACACGCGTCGCTCTTTGATTGTGCTACGTGGCACGTCTGCAGCGCGGCTCCTCTCGGCTCCGGCGGCTTATTCGGCTCAGAAAACCTGTTTCCAGCCTATTTGACACCGTTTAGACCCTCCCAGACCTTGTTTCGGCCTTGTTTAAGGTAAAATGGAACATTTTAAGGTCGCATTTCACAAATTCTTAGTTTATTGGATTTAGATTAATTATCGTAAAGTTCACTTTATTCAATAACAATCTTTACTGAATAAACAACAATAATAACTTTATTGAAAATAGAATATATTTTCGTTTACAAACTACTATGAGTTTTAGGACATAAAACCCAACAAGTTGAACGTAGTTTCCAACGCAAGCCAAACATCACGTGCAGTAGAGAGACCAACGACAACAGCCATGGCTTCCTCGACGAGAGAGGAGAATAGGAGATAGAGAAGTCGTTGATCAGGTGCTCTCTACACCAAATATTTGGGGTTGAGTGTTGAGGAGGTTTTTGGTTCAAAGTGAGGTGGTGGAATCATAGTTCCATCAACATAGCCCAACATGTCTTGACTCTCAAGGAGAGGGAGAAGTTGGCTTTTCCAAAGAAGATAATTGGAGTAAGAAAGTGACTAATGAACCCATAGGAACCAACCACCAACGGAAGCGTAGAACGTCCACGAGGAGCTAGGAGCTTACGTTATATCTAGGGAGTACTTCGGCTAAGGCCTACCAAGTAAGTGGCTCACCCGTCGTAGGTTACGCGTTAATTGCTGTACGTTGGCACATGCCCGTGAATATGCACGGGTCATTAAATTGTATGCTAGCTTAATGTGCTTAAGTGCGAAATCATGTGAACGTAAATGTATGTTATGTATGCTGCTTAGTTGATGTGATATGTTATGCATGTGACGAGTTGTGGCCCTTGTATGATTATGGCTTGTTTGTATGAGTATTCGAATGTAACTGTATGAATTGTATGACATGAAATACGGTAAATTGCATGGAACATAACCCCTCTAGGAATATGTATGATATGTAACGAAATGAGAATGACATGTAAGCATGAAAACGTGACACGGGATTATGTTCATTAATGATAACTGTAGGACTAGTGGGACCTCATGCATATTGTGTGTTCATGCATTTGGGGGGATACCTCTATCCCATCACGAGGGTACGGACGCGTACATCCAATGGCAGGAGACGATCATTATGCCCTGCATAGCGCTGCCGTGATGGTCCTAGTTTTAACAGGTCCCGGTATAAGGGCTCCCAGAGCATGCCTACTGGCTAGGGACAATGGCCCAGCGGTGTGCGAACTAGCTGGTGAGCCCATACTCGCACGTATGGGCTGCGTGTAGAGTATATGGTACACGTCCACGATTACCTGTTAGGATTATACCATAGGGAAAACGAAACGAAACGAAACGAAAGATAGGTCTCATCATCTCATTGCATGTGTGTGTCACATAACCCCGATAGGGGGTCACTTATTGAGTATTCTAGAAATACTCAAGGCTCATGCTACTTTACTTTTGCAGATAAGGGCAAGGCACCCATGTGACAACGACGGCGATATCGTACACCCCGGGACCGTGGCACATGTATAGGGTAGTTGTTTGGTGGCATCATTTGTATAGGTTAGTATAGGTTGAAATGTATTTGCATAATAAACGGTAGAATAACACATTCATTTTGGGTTTTGTTACTTTTCCTTTATTTCTGTTCTTCCTTTTTTTCCTTGTAATCATTTTCTCTAAGGTAATAAAAGGCGAGTGCAAGTCGCATTTATGAATAGGACCCATTTAATGTATATTTTGTATTTCAAGGTATAGTAATGACCTTAGGTTTAATAGGTAAAATATTAGGGCCGTTACAAAAAAGTTGAAAATTCGGTGCCGAGTCCACGAAGAAACCAGTGCACTTTATCAATGTCCTCGATGGGTCTGCCATTGGCATGAAGTTGGTCACAAATTCGGTGCCGAGTCCACGAAGGAACCAGTGCACTAAGGATTAGAACATCCCCAATGTCTTCGGCTGGATTTATAGAATCATCATCATCTCCAGATTTGTGATTCTGCTTCCTCTCTAGTCTTGTACAACCTGTCCGAAAGTGACCTTTTTCTCCACAATTCCAACACATTACGTTTGGTCCAACTGATCAATAGAGATGAGGTTCTTCTTGAGACCAGGAATATATCTGACCTCCTATAATTTCTGTTGATTTTTTGTTTGAGTTTTTATGCAGACATCCTCTTTTCCTTCAATCTTCAAATTTTTGTTGTCGGCAAACATACACCTTCTTGAAATTTTCAGACTTGAAATTTTGAAACAGCACTTTATTTTGACATGAATAAAAAGATGTACCTGAGTCCAAAATACAGGATTCAATTGGACGGTTCATGACGAGGATTAGAGCATCCCAATGTCTTCTGCTGAATTTATAGAATCATCATCTTCTGATTTATGATTCTACTTCCTCTTTGGTCTTGTACAATCTGTCCGAAAGTGACCTTTTTCTCCACAACTCCAACCTATCACGTTTGGTCTATTTGAAAAATTTTCACAGTTCTTTGATTTTGATCGACCTTTGTTTGGGTCCTTAGATTTACTTTTTACCCCTTTGGTCAACACTAAGATCACCACCAGATGAATCCTCAATTTCTCGTGTGAATACTTTCGTTGAAAACTACATCTTGAATTTCATCGAACTTCAATTTCTTAGATCCTTGAGAATTGCTAATCGGGGCAATAACAATATCCCATGACTCGGGTAAAGATGACATCAAAATCAGTGCCTTAATTTCATCTTCGAAATTAATTTTCACTTAACTTAGTTGACTTACAATCATAATGAATTCGTTAATATAATTAGCAACATATCCACCTTCAGACATTTGTAAATTGAACAACTCTCATCAAATACATCTTGTTCTTAGCCGCAAGTTTTTCATATATATTCAACAGTACCTTCAACAGATCTGACGTTATCTTCGTCACGTCTCGAGATAACGTCAACCGAATCAACCCTAAAGGCCTGTCGACCCATGAGCTTCCACTGCTCCATGGTCATGGTATCCAACCTCACCCCCAATAAAGATTCATAAAGATCTTTTTGGTACAAATAATCTTGCATCTTCCAAAAATTGAAATCAGATCCATTAAACTTCTCAATTCCAATCTTTTAAAATCTCCATCTTCACAGATCGTAGTGAATCTCTCCTAGCTCTAATACCAGTGGTTAGGATCGCACAACAATGCGCACACTCAATTTAGATGAATAGTGTCTAAGGATTTGTATCGATGACTTCAGGTATGTAAACCAATAGAGAAAACAGATAATGAAGAAAGTATATCTTCAAAGCTCTGTCCAAGGGTATATATATGACTTCGATTTGCTATATAATCACCTACTGTATATAAATATCTACCAAATATATCTCTACCAGATTTTTACTATATAAATAGACATCAGGCTCCATATCTGAACAATAACAACCTCAATCAATCGAATAGATGAGAAAAAACCACAAACTTCCATGTAAGAACATCCTTAAAAGTTACAACTTTGTACCATTTTATATACAAACAAAACAAAATAAAATAGGCTTAAATGTCAATAATCTGTGGGCCTAAGTATTGTATGCCATCCATGCGAGTGTTTTCTGGCATCTCAATCTCTTCTAACCATCCATATCCCTTAGCCTCTTCTTATGTCATTGCCATGCCACCATCTGCCATCGAAGCTGATACGAAACCATTACGAGAGTCACGGTCATATTGTAAATGTCGTAGCAGATCGATATTCGCATTTCGTTACAATATTTGGAAGAACTTTTACGATGGTGCACGAACATGATTTGGAACTTACTTGAAAAAGAGGAATAGGGATGCTCCTTATAAATATGAACAATCTCGATCGTCCTCCATGGAGTATGGAGGTCCAAGCACATCAAGCACCGTGACATAATCGCACTTTCGAAGGCAGCGGACTAGCGATTGTGCGACACTCACTTTCCAGCGACAAGTGAGTTAAGCCAATTTGTTCTTGCGTCGCCTACGGCCAAGCGACGTACGGTCGAGCCTCTAGCCTCGGTTTTAAAAGAAGGTTTTAGAAAATGAGGAGAGAGAGAGATTTTAGAAAGAGAGATTTTAGAAAGAGACGTTATATAAGCAAGCAAGAGAAAGATAACAACGGCTTAGCATATATAACCTTGGGTAGGGAGAAGTTGACAACTAGTCATATCCCCCTATAGTACATTCTGGGCCATTTTAGTTCTGGCAGGCCTAGACATGATATTTTTGAGGTGTCATACGCTCTAGACTTACAAAAGGAAAAACACTAGAATGAAAAGACATGACAAGGGTTTGGCTTGTCATGGGCATGCGGCCATGGGCAACATGCCCTGGACAAGCATGACCGTGACATCCTCCCCCATCTAATTGGTTGACTTCCCTGTCAACCGACTACTTTCATACCTTGCAATGTGGGTGGCGGCGGAGTTCAGATCTTCGGCGCGTTCCCAGCTTGTTTCCTCTGTAGGGAGATTCTTCCATTTGACAAGGAATTCACGAATCATCCATACAGGTCTTCCTATCTTTCTAACCCTGTCAGCTAGGATCTCTTCCACTTCCTTTGTTTCTTTTTGCTTCAGATCGATGTTCGGTCTTGTGGTTGCATTTCGTTGGTTGTCGTCTGGATCAGAGTGATAGGGCTTCAAGTTGCTCACATGAATGACGGAGTGGATTTTCATCCATGCGGGTAGTGCAACTCGGTAGGAGGTAGCCCCGATCTTTTTAAAGATTTCAACCGGGCCTTCATATTTACGAACTAGTCTCAGGTCCTTTCGGCTACGAAATCTGATCTGTTCTGGTCTCAGCTTGATAAGGACTTGATCTCCTGCACGGACTTGAAGGGGGCGACGCTTCTTGTCCGCCCATTTCTTCATATGCTTGGAAGCCTTCTCTAAATATGCCCGGGATATATCTGTCGTCTGCTTCCATTCTCTTGTAAAGTTGTGAGCTTGAGGGTTTTTTCCTGCATAAGGATGATCAATAATATGGGGTAAGGCCGGTTGTCGTCCACTTACAATTTCGAAGGGACTCTTCCCTGTAGACGAGCTTGTTTGACAATTGAAGCAAAATTGGGCGACATCTAACAATTGTATCCAGTTCTTTTGGCCAGTGTCGACGAAGTGACGTAAGTATTCTTTCAGCAAGCAATTGAACCGTTCTGTCTGTCCATCGGTTTGAGGGTGATAACTCGAGGAGATGTTTAAGGTTGTTCCCAAGAAAGCGAATAACTCAGTCCAGAATGTCCCAATGAATCTGCCATCCCTATCACTGATGATGCTCGACGGAATGCCCCATAGCTTTACAACGTGTTTGAAAAACAGTTGGGCTGTGAGTTCCGCCGAGCATAATTTGGGAGAGGGAATGAATGTCGCATATTTTGAGAACCGGTCTACAATAACCAAGATGGCGTCATATTCCCCGACTTTTGGGAGGTGTGTTATGAAGTCCAGAGATACACTTTCCTAGGGTCTTGTTGGCACAGGTAGAGGTTCCAAGAGTCTAGAGACTTTGGCTTTCTCGACCTTATCCTGTTGGCAGATGAGGCACGTCTTGGTGTATTGCATGACGTCGTCTCGCATGTTTGGCCAGAAGTACCCCTTCTTTATTAGGGCGTATGTTCTTTGCCACCTAGGGTGTCCGGCCCATAAGATATCATGACATTCCTGAATGAGCTTCTTCCTCAGTTCCCCCGTTCTTGGGACGTACAATCTGTTTCCTTTGGTTATCAGGAGGTCCCCCTCAACCCAAAACTGTCGTGTCTTTCCAGCCTTAGCTAGTTCGACAACAGCTTTGGCCGATGGGTCTTTGTGTAGATGTTCCTTGATGATGTCGCGCATCGATCCATCGATCTTACTTGAATGAATATGGGCTAACATGCACAGGGTCGTATGTTCGCCCTTCCGACTCAGCGCATCGGCTGCTTGATTACTCTTTCCTGCTTTGTGTTCGAACTTGAAGTCGAATTTGGCCAACGACTCCTGCCACCAGGCTTGTTTTGCTGTTAATTTTGGTTAATCAAAGAAGTGGCAAGTGGCGCTGTTATTCGTCTTCACTACGAACTGTGATCCTAAGAGATACTGTCTCTAGACTCGAAGGCAATGGACTACAACCAGCATTTCTTTCTCGGAGACAGTGTGTCTTCGTTCGGCATCGTTGAGCTTTCGACTTTCGTAAGCGATGGGGTGGCCTTCTTGAATAAGGACCCCACCTAGAGCAAAGTCGGAAGCATCGGTTTCTACTTCAAATGGCTTTGTGATGTCTACCAACCCGAGGACAGGACCCCTCTTCATGGTTGTTTTCAGATTTTCAAAGGTCATTTGACAATCATTCGACCACGACCAAGGGTGGTCTTTCTTCAACAGCTTTGTCAATGGGGCGGCTCGTCGTGGAAACCCTTCGACGAACCGCCTATAGTAGTTGGCTAGTCCTAAGAAGGACCGCAACTCAGATACGGAAGTAGGAACTTTCCATTCTAGGATAGCTTTTATCTTGTCGCTATCCATACTAATTTGTCCACATCTGACGACATGTCCAAGGAAGTTGATGCATGTTTGTGCGAATGCACATTTCTCCTTCTTCACATACAGCTTGTTCTGCCGGAGCTTGTCAAACACTAGCTTCAAGTGCACTTTGTGTTCCTCGAGGGTTGTGCTGTAAACAACAATGTCGTTGAGGTATACTATGACGAACTGATCTAGATATTCATAGAAAACCTGGTTCATCAACGTGCAGAACATAGCTGGGGCATTTGTCAAGCCAAAGGGCATTACTAGGAATTCAAAGGCCCCATATCTTGTTACGCACGTCGTCTTGGGTTCGTCCCCTTCGGCAATACGTACTTGATAATATCCTGATCATAAGTCCAACTTCATGAAGTACTTGGCCCCGTGAAGTTGGTCGAACAAGTCGGATATTATCGGCAGAGGATATTTGTTGCGTACCGTCACCTTGTTTAAGGCTCTATAGTCTATGCACAGACGCAGCGTCCCATCCTTCTTCTTCTGGAACAGTACGGCGGCTCCATAAGGTGCCTTTACCGGGTGAATGAATCCCGCCTTCAGCAACTCGTCTAGTTGTTTCCTCAATTCAGCTAGCTCGAGCGGAGCCATCCGGTATGCGTTCTTCGCTGGTAGCTTAACCCCGGGGAGGAGTTCGATTTCGTGGTCAATGCCTCGACGAGGTGGTAGTGTTTGTGGTAAACTCTCTGGCATTATGTCGGTATAGCTGTCTAGTACTTCCTTGATTTCCTTTGGGACAGTCTCTTCGGTGGTTGCTTCTTCTATCAGTGGTATGGCCATGAATGTAGGTTCCTCTCGTGCGAGTCCCCTTTTTAGCTGTATGGCCGAGATCATTCGAAGATTACCTGGTTGCTTGATGCTTGCAGGTATTACTGTGGGGTTACGGTCGGTGATCACCAAGCATTTTGCTAATGGCATTGGGATGACCTTGTGTTCTAGGAGGAACTCCATCTCAAGTACCACGTCGAAGTCGTCCATGCGAACCACGACAAGGTCTAGCTCTCCAGTCCAATCCCCTATTTTGAAGGGGACTCCTTTGGAAACTCCCACAATAGGCAAGGCCTCGGAGTTGACAACTTTCATTTTCCCCGGGTCTTTTCCTATGGTGAGTCCCAATCTTCTGGCTTCTTGATCGGCAATGAAGTTGTGGGTTGCTCTAGAGTCTATCAGAGTGCTCTTGCTCGGTCGAGAGTTCATTGTGGCATCTACGAACATGAGCCCTTTCTCTATTATCTCCTTCGGTTTGACTTTTCGTTGGAGGGCTGACAAGAATTTGAGTGCGCCCATTCAGGGGTTGTCGTGATCTGTTGGATTTCAATAATCGGCCAGGGAAAACACCGAGATGATATTGTCGACAGGAGGTTGTTGGAAGAGAGATAAAATGCGTAAAATAAGAGAGAGAGAAGGACTGAAAAGTTTTGACTGCTCTTCAAAAACCGGATGTAAAATCCTGTAAACAGATTTCCTATTTAAATACAATCTATCCTAAAAATGGGTGGAGAGTGGCCAACTGAATCTGTGCCACTTCCTAGAAAATTGACGTCTAAGAATTCGCTAATCCATTCGACGTGTTTGTCAAATGGTCAAAGGGAAATTAAATGTAAACGTGTGAATCTAAATAAGGAAAAAACAAAGGTTTTATCTAACAATCTCCTCCTAAAACCTGTGTTATATCTGCCTTATTATTTGAACTCCGATCTTTGAGCGAAGTTCTTCAAATTTCACCCGTGCTAGGGACTTGGTGAAAATGTCTCCAAGTTGTTCCTCTGTTCGAATGAAATCAATCTTGATGAGCCCTCGATCTGCACATTCTCGAATGTAGTGGAATCTGATTTCTATGTGCTTGCTCCGGTCGTGCAAAACTGGATTTTTGATCAGGGAGATCGTAGCTTTGTTGTCTACGTATAGCATTGGTGGATCGCTTTCTCTCCCGATGAGTTCTTCCATTAGTCGTGCAAGCCAGATCCCTTGAGTTGCTGCCATCGAAGCGGCGATGTATTCTGCTTCGCAGGAAGACAAAGCAACTACCTTCTGTTTTGTTGATTGCCAGCAGATCGCGCCGCCTGAGAGAAAGTAGATCATTCCGCTGGTGCTCTTACGATCATCAACGTCACCGGCCATGTCACTATCGCTGTAGCCGACCAGTTTTAGTTTCTCCTTTCTGCTCCCAGCGCAGTATCTTACGCCCCAGCCTCTGGTTCCGGCTACATAGCGCAGGATGCGCTTGACAGCCACTAGATGCTCCTCCCTAGGTGCTTCCATAAACCTGCTCACATATCCAACAGAATATGCAAGATCTGGACGAGAGTTTACCAGATAGCGCAGACTCCCGACAATGCTGCGGTAATTGGTGGAGTCGACTGTCGTCGTAGTGCCGGCCTTCCTTAGTTGAAGTCGGGCCTCCATTGGCGTCCTGGTAGGATTACTGTCCACAAGCCCAGTTGTGTCCAGCAGCTTCCTCGCGTATGCACTTTGGCAGATGGAGATGCCGGAAGAGTTCTGTTGCACTTCGATGCCGAGGTAGTAGCTGAGCACACCGAGATCGCTCATCTCGAAGTTTTTCGACATCTCCTTCTTGAACCTTCCGAGGACTCCCACGTCGCCTCCAGTGATTATGAGGTCATCGACGTACACTCCCACGATCAGTCGCTTTTTGCCGTGGCCGTACGTGTACATGCCATGCTCAGAGACACAACGTTTGAAATTCAGTGACAGTAGGGTACTGTCGAGCTTCGCGTTCCAGGCTCGTGGGGCTTGTCGAAGCCCGTAGAGTGCTTTGTGCAGACGCAGTACCTTATTAGGGTTGTCGTTATCCAGGAAGCCAGGTGGTTGTCGAACATAGACGGTCTCCTTCAACTCTCCGTTAAGGAAAGCAGACTTTACGTCCATATGGTGAACCTCCCAAGAGTGATGTGCTGCAATTGCCAGCAAGAAACGAACGGATTCTAACCTTGCTACTGGCGCAAATACCTCTTCGAAGTCCACTCCTTGCTTCTGGACGTAGCCCTTCGCCACCAGACGAGCCTTGTGCTTCACAACTTCTCCTTTTTCGTTGCGCTTCAGTTTGAAGACCCACTTGAGCCCTATGGCTTGGTGTCCCGGTGGCATATCCTCCAGACTCCACGTCTGGTTCTCAGTGATGGATGTCATCTCTTCCTGCATTGCCTTCCGCCAGCACGGGTTCTTTTCTGCTTCGGCGAAGGTGTTTGGTTCATCTGCACTGACGGCATGTAGTTCGGCCACTTCCTCGAGCTCGCGCGCTGCTAGTCCAGGTGGTTCACCTCCTCCCACTAGGTCATCCATCCTCCGGTACCTAGCCTTCAGATCAGTATCGTGATCGGCATCCAGCGTCGAATCCGCAGTCCGTGGTGTTGCGAATTCTACTGGTTCAGGTGGTGCACCTGCTGGCGGCGGTGACGTCTCCTGATGCTGGGCTCCTCCTTCTTCAGGCTCGGTGACGAGGTACTCCACCGTGAATTGATTTGGATTACGGTCTGCCTCGATCACGTCATTCCACTGCCAGAAGGTGCTTTCGTCGAAGACGACGTCGCGAGACACGTGAGCTCGCCCCCCTACAGGATCATAGAGCCTGTACGCCTTGCTCCCGGGTTCGTAGCCGATGAAGACAACCTTCAGCCCCTTGGGATCGAGCTTGGCGTGATGGGGACGTGTTACCTTCATGTATGCGATGCAGCCGAACACGCGAAAATGATGTACTGTTGGTTTTTTGTTGTACCAGGCCTCATATGGCGTCTTCCCGTCAAGGCTTCGGGTTGGTGACCGATTGAGGAGATAGACAGCTGTCATTACTGCCTCTCCCCAGAATCTCCCA